GATGACGTCACAGGGAAGAGAGGTTTGGACGGATCACGTGATGCGAGCGAAACGCTCTCAGAACGTGGAGCTTGGTTCTGTTCGTACTTGATTGTTTAAAATGAACAATGCTGCTTATGCACCGTGGATTGTTTATTTGAATGATTACAGTATTTAAATTTAAATTGTTTTGCACAGAAGGGAGACTGGGAGTGACACAGGCGATGAGTGTGAGTGCAGCGGAGAAGTGGGCGTGGCAGAGAGCGTCACATGCTGCACAGGTGCAGCTGGTGCCAAATCATTCAAAATAATTATTTTAAATAAACAAACCATGCCGCTCGTGCGGCTCATCCATCAATCAGCCAGCACAGGTGCATGCAGCAAGACTGCACATGACAGTGTGTCATTTATTACGAACCTTTATCTAAGCAGGCAAACCCCTCTGAGATCACACATGTTTTACAGCGCAGGCCTGGACCTGAACGCAGACTAACGCGCATGTTTTTGGTCTGTGGGAGGAAACCGGAGCAACTGGAGAAAACCCACGCATGCACGAGAAGAACATAACTCCACACAGAAAGACCCCAGGTCCAAGTGGGGATTGTACCCAGGACCTTCTTGCTGTGAGGCAACAGCGCTATCCACTGAGCCACCATGCTGCCAAATGTCCAATCTTACTTTGAAAAACAGCGAAAGAGCAAATCTGTGAAAGTCGAACCACGAAGTAGCGAGGGACTACTGTACCTACAGATCACTACAATAGAAAAAGTGGTTCGAGTCCGTGTTGGAGAACTTACGGTGATGATGTTCCCTGCTGCGTTCTCGCTGTCCGTCTGGTCGTCCTGCTCAGAGGAGTCCGTCTCCTCCAGAGCCTGCAGTTCCAGCTCAGAGGGCAGGAGGGCGCTGAGATACGGGATGGTGCTCGGCCGGGCGGCGATCACTGGCAGCAGTCAGAACGTTGTGTTACACAGAGATTATGAACAGGTCCAAAGCAGGTCCAGGCGCTGGGCCTGGTCACGCTCACTCACATGGGAACGCAGTGAAGTCGTCTTTGAAGAGGCTTTGAGTTTCTCCAGTCTTGGCCATGAAACGTGTGAGAGCTCGTTCTACGTCTCTCCTCTGGGTCGCTGCCTTCTCTCTCACCACTTGGTAATCTGACACAGGCTCCCTGAACGTCTGCAGGAAGGAAGGCAAACCACCGATCTACCGTTTCACCTCAAAAGAAGGGAGGCGTTTCTCTTCGAGGATCTTTATAAGGAAATGTTTCTGACTTACAGGTGTTTTGATGTAGGTGTGAGGGTCTGGGAACTCTGGGAAGTGGCTGGGAATGTGGGCAGGGTGAGTACGCTTCTGTCCAGCTGACAGGGACTTGGGTAGTGCCGGGGCATTCGTCACTGGAGCTAAAAACCAGTCAAGAGCAAAGTCCAGTTCATCAATAGTTAGATTTAAATCACTTTTTGAAAATGTAAATTCTCTGTAGCTGTCAGATTAATATGCAAGAGTGTGCATTTCCTTACGCGCAGTAATAACCATTCTCTGCGACCGTTTGGCGTACACAGGCAGCGTGTCCACGTTGAGACCTTTTAAAAACACAAATCACCAGTTTGGTTAAAGATGACCCTAATTTAAATGTCTTCGTTTCAGCCAACTTGCAGTCTTACCCATTTCAATGAGAGTCATCACGGTGTCTGAAAGGGTCGGGACGCTCCTGGCTGTGTGTTCACAATATGCTTTAGCACATCGGCCAATTTCACTGATGTCTGTCGAAACACAAAGGACTTACAGCTCTTCATCAAATATACTGTCATGTGCGACAAACTCATTTATGAAGGTGCGCAGAGTCGTAGCTAAACTTTTCTACTGGACTGTTTTACAGCATTTCACGTGTCAAAAAACAGACATAGAATTGTGCAAAAGTCTTGAGCCAACCCACAAGAAATGAAAGTTTGTTTCCAATCAGACTTCAAGAGGTCCCTTCAAAGTTGTATTTCACACATTTGATGCTTTTCTTCTCTGGGTCGCTTCATATTTTCATCATTTTGTACCCCCACTCTGTCCTCACTGGTGTGTTTATACATTTGCTAACCCTGTACAGTAAGTTAAGCTCTGAAACTGAGGGCTGTGACTGTTGGAGACAAAATGCAAACAACTTTCACAACGGTGTCTTGGGCTCACCTACAGTCACCAGATGAGTGCAAAATTGATTAGTGGGATTTTATCATCATTAGATGATTCATCTGAGGCAGCACTGGTAATGCAGAGAAACAAACAGGCTGTCGGTGTCATTAAACATATACAGAAACGGTTCCTGACAGGGTGGCATGGTGGATCAGTTGGTAGAGGGTCGCCTCTCAGTGAGAAAGCCGCCGGATCAAGTTTGCATGTTCTCTCCGTGCATGTGTGGGTTTTCTCCCACAGACCAACAACATGCATGTTAGACTGATGGTAGCTCTGAATTGTCTCTAGGTGTGAGTGAGACAGTGTATGGTTGTTTGTCTCTGTGTGTCCCTGTGATGGACTGGAAACCTGTCCAGGGTGTCCCCCGCCTCTTTCACAGTGACTGCTGGACATGAGCACCAGTGACCCCCGTGCCCACGAATGGAAGAAGCGGGTAAATATGATGGCTGGTTTCTGACAGGCAGGGCGTAAAGGCACAGAGGAATAAAGAAACTTTGCAAACGAAGTGTGACCCTGCGTTTTACTGCTGAGAGTAAAACTGAGAGTAAGCCCTGGGCTGCTCGGGGGATACAGCGAGACTTACAGCTCTGCATCATCTCGGTCAGCGTCTCCACCGCGGCCTTCTCGGCGCAGTCGAAGCCGCTCTCTGTGAGCAGGGCGCTGGCCACCACCTGCAGGGTGCGGCGCCGGGACAGCTGGTAGTTCTCCGCAGGGCTGGAAGCTGCTTTAGCGCCACGCTGAGGGAAAACACGATCAACAAAAGCTGAACTCGTTTGTTTGGGGCATTTTTATTCTTTAAGGCGAGTTTTCTCCAAAGAACAGAAGAAATGTACTAACGGACATTACATGTTTCTCGGCCCCTGAGCATCAGTCATTCATTTGAACACTTAGCGTAGAGGCTAAGACTTGCAGCTTAAGTTTATTACTATTCAGAACACAGGGCAGCAGCTTGGAATTGAACGCGCGGTCATAAATCGTGTGCAAGTCTCGTTAGCGCCAACAAGCATCTCCTGCGGCCGTAGAGAGTCTCTTACCCCGCCCGCGTTCAGCGACCCTCCCGACATCACCGCAGAATCCGCCATCTGCAATGACTGCTGCTGTTCTGGTTGTCTAAATTAAATTAAACAGTCATTTTACTGGTCCATCAAACGTTTAGCCACCGACAGTAAACACCGAGAAGACATTGGTGACGTAATTTCCGCTCAATTGGCGGAAGTGAAATATCATCCCACATGTGTTTTTAACGTTGCCCTCTAGTGGTCATCTGCTAACATTACAACATTTTTAGATTAATTCACTACATGAGCAGAAAGAAAACAAACGAGGAATACATTACAGTAATCATGAATTCATGCTTACTGCACTGGAAAGGTTTGGTTTATTTGATTTTTTCCGTAGATGTGTACAAACTCTGTATGCAGAAGGTAAGAGCAGTGCTTTTTGTCCTTTTGGTACATCTCCTAGGTTTAGTCTCCATAGAGGGGTTCAACAGGGATGTCCACTATCCGTTTATCTTTTTCTGTTAGCAGCTGAGTTTCTAAATGTTCATGTCAGAAACAGCCTCATACAAGGAATCAATATTGCAGGTCGAAGTATTTTCATTAGCCAGTTGGCTGATGATACAGCTTTGTTTTTAAAAGACATACGTGTCACAAGTCTCTCTAGCAATCAGTTGAAAGTTTCACTAAGGCCTCTGGCCTGTCTCTTAATCTTAATAAGTGTGAACGTTGTCAGGGAATAATTGCACACACTCCTCTATTTGTGGCACCCCTGTCAAATATTCTGTAACATACCTGGGTATCAGTATCACTAAGAATAGTAAAAATAGAAGTATTGCTAATTTCACTCCTGTCATTGAAAAGTCAAAAAAGGTTTTTAACAGTTGGATACAAAGGGATCTGTCCCTGAGAGGTAGAGTCCTGCTCACTAAAGCAGAAGGATTGTCCCATCTGGCCTGTACTGCCCAGTCTCGTTATGTTGATAAATCACTTTGTAAATCTGCCGACAGATCGTTCCCAGGGTTTTACCACGCTTTTAATTAGAAGCTTTCAAAAAGATGCAGGAAGAGGTCCACCTGCATCATGAAGGACCCCACTCACCCAGCACACGCACTTTTTGCCCCGCTCCCCTCAGACAGGAGGTTGAGGAGCATTAAGTGTAGAACCACTGGACTGAGGAACAGCTTCTACCCTGAGGCTGTTAGACTCATGAATCTCTAACTAGAATAATCACTGTGAAAAAATCACACATCATGTTGCTGCTGATCTATTTCATGTTGCTGCTGATCTGTTTCAATGTTGCTGCTGATCTGTTTCATGTTGCTGCTGATCTGTTTCAATGTTGCTGCTGATCTGTTTCGTGTTGCTGCTGATCTGTTTTGTGTTGCTGCTGATCTGTTTCGTGTTGCTGCTGATCTGTTTCGTGTTGCTGTGTTCAGGCATGCTCATCTGCTCACACAGACTCATGTTCATGTTCTTGCTGCTCTTCGACGTATTGATTTTATAATGCTTAGTATATTTTTAATTAACGTTTTTCTTAGTTCATATCTTAGATCTTATTGTGGTTTTTCTTTTACATTTAATACTTTTATTGGATGTAACTGGGACCCTGTGTACACAATTTCGTTCCACCACACGTACCACATGTGGTGTGAATGACAAATAAAGAACCTTGAATCTTTGAAACTCTGCCATGAAAAGCAGCGGGCGATATTTATCCTTTAAAGATCACTGGGTCTTTAAATGAACACTTTTACTTGTTCGTTGACAAAGACCTGTTAGGTGAACAATAAAATAATCTTGTTCTTTAATAAAAGCTAAAATAATCACTGAATTTGGCACTTCCTACTCCTTTTTTGTCCGAATTATTAAGATGATGTGCATAAAGACAACGTTTTACAGCTTTGAATTAAATCAATTCTAAATGATTGCTAGCATAAAAAAAGTTTATTACAGTACAAAATGAAATAAAACATCACTTTCATTTATTTCTCATTCATTAAGGTTTGCTGCCCAGCAGCGTCACGTCACTGTATCCTGCAGTTTTCTGTAAAACAGTTCAGCTTTGTTTGTTGTTTGTCACCACCCAGGACAAATTGCATGTGTAACCATCTCTAAATAAATTAAAGATGAAAAGGGACCACTTCAACGTGGTTATTCAGATGCCACCACTGCCAACAACACCGTGACTGCGCTGTCCTTTTCTGTGGAGGCCTGATCTCTTTAAGAAGCATGTAAGCGGTTGGCTGAGCTTCTCTGCACAGCTGTCTCCAGATGTTTGGCCTTGACATTAGACCATGCTGCTCCAGTCATGTCCCCAAATTCAGTACGAACTAAGGCAGAGTCTGGTTTAGGCATCTTCTTTTCTTTCTTCTGCTCGATATAAAACTTTGCATGTTCTTCCTCAGTGGTGTCATCGTCGAAGAAGGGCAGGAGGATCATTTCCACCACGCCACCGACCATTCCGAGCATCGCCAGCGTCGAGCCGAGCATGTAGATCTTCAGCACGCTCCAGCTGGGCTTCTGTCTCAGCATCTCCTTCGCAAAAGGGATGATGTCTCTGGTGCTTTCCATTTTCTGCAGGAAAAACAATTTGTTTTTAAAACAAAGATAGTTGAGCTAATTAAACTATGCAGACTGTCTCTAGTGACAAGCAGATACTCACTTTGTAATAGACACCAAAGTCTTGATTGTTTTCTCCAAGTGATCAGCACAACCAGGCGTCTGCAGGTGGAGGAACAGATCCTACAATTTAAACACTAGCGGATCCAAGTTTCCTCCCACAGTGGAGGAGACGTGATGAATATTCATGATCCTGATGTGCTGCTGTTTCTTTTTTTTTAGAGATTAGCACATATTTGTGTCAAAGGGCACAGATTTGTAAGAAGTGAAACAAAACGCTCCCTGTGCACGATGCTGTGCTTGTGACATCACATCTGATCCAGTAAACAGCAGCATGATAAGCACACAGTCACTGACAACAACGTTTTGGTGCATTCATCAATAAAGTACACAAAGTGAGTGTTTGGTTTACAATGAGTGACTTGTAACTGTGCACATTGGTCTTCCTCAGGAGAGCGTGAATAGTGTCCAATCCAAGGATGCCGGACTGGGGAGAGCCACGCCCATTTATTGGCTGACAGAGCTGTGCTGGTTACACATGGAATACCCCTTATTGCTTTATTAATATTACAGATAAGGACTTAAAGTTTGACATAATCCCATTGAATCCTGCAAAGTGTCTGCGCGCCAAGCTGACACAGCACCGACTGCAGGGGCTCTCAGATATGAACACATCCATCCTTTACACGCCCCCCGGACAGATTCCTTCTGTTTCTGCTTGTTGTTGCACTTAATGTTTCAGATCATCAAACAAGTATAAACATCAAAATGCATTTTCTAAATTATTCCAATCTCAGTTTGTTAAAGAAGCAACAAGGACAAATCAGCCTGGCCCTAAATGGAAAAAGTACCACCCCTCATAACAACCAAACACCTGCCACTCCACAACCCTCACCTGGACAATACTTACCTGCCTGCAAACGTGGAATCCCTACCCTCCTCTCCACCTGCACCTCAAAGCACACAGTGAGAAACTTGACCCCTTATTTGATACAGTTGATCACAATATTTTACTACAGAGGCTTGAATATGATGTTGGGATTACAGGAACAGCTCTAAAGTGGTTTAAATCATATCTATCTGATAGATTCCATTTTGTAAATGTAAATAATAAATCTTCTTTATACACCAAAGTTAGTCATGGAGTTCCTCAGGGCTCAGTGCTTGGGCCAATACTCTTTACTTTATATATGTGTAGTATGACATATCCTGAGATATTCACCAGATGTAGTGTAACATATCTTGAGATATATTATACATTAAACGGGTTCATTCATTTTTCTGGACTGAATGATGTCGTGCATTGAATTTAAATAAAATGTGGACGTGAGACGTTAATTATCTTTGACTCACCACGACAGTGGGTCATTTATTAACAGAATCAAGTTTAACACATCACACATTTACATTAATTGGCAAGAATTGAAAATAACGACATAATTAATCAGCTTTACAGGAGTGAGAACAATACGGCGATTGTTTCCTCACTTTCAGCAGACAGCAGACATCAAATCACACGGCGGTGATTGAAAACTTTGCTTCAGACATTTCTAAAAATATCTGTAATGATTTTTAGCAGATAGGAAAATTTTAAGATGGAAAGATGAGGTTTATCTACAGAGAGATGTGTGAGGGAATTTGTCTGTCTTAACCAGAACCGACACGCTCCTTCTTTTCCAGCTTGGGCCAACGGTACACTTGGTTGAGAATAGAACTTTTTGCCTTGCAGACGATAGTTCAGCGTAGGTGTAGAGCTCTCCTTTCAACTCTTTCAGCGTTTCCGTGAGAACAGCTCGAACCTCGAGAGTCGTGTGAGGTTATCCAAACAGAAGTTATAATTCCCAAAATCGTCTCTGGATCAGCTTGATTCTAATTCAGCAGCATCCTGAATTCCAGCGTTCTGCATTCTGGAACTCCCAAACTCTCCGTTTGAACTAGGAAGTGCCAACATTTAAATGGGCTCTACTTCCGGTTCATTTGAGAGCCTCTGATTGGTCGATGGACCCCAACAGAGGTGTGTTTTGTGATGTAAGGTGTTATTAAAAGTCAAGGAAAAGATTCAGATTGTTTAAGAACAGACAGAAAGATATCATGGAAAAACCAGACTTCGTGGAGTCACTCACCAAGTATCTTGCTGTAAAAGTTAAACATGACATTTCTTTTCAGTAAACTTTCAGTTGACCGAAACTTGAACTTCGACACACTTACAACTTTGCTCATTGAAGACAGAAAATCAAGAAATGCATATTAACCTGATTTCTTCTTTGAATGAGGATTAAAAATCATTATTACTGTTTTAAGTAAATAAAAATGAGTAGTTCACTTCAACATGTAAACATTGTTTGAACTAACACAATTTGATTATCAAAACATTTGTAAAATAGTAATGATCATAGAGAATTGTCTTTTTCCACTTGATTAATTCAAGAAAGAAAGTCTCAGGATGGGTCAACCTGTATTTCGGGATGCAAATCAATGAAATGACAGTTTCTGACCATATGATCCTAAGGTCAAGTTTTGACATCAGGTCAAGTTCACTACATATGCTTCCATTAGGTAAAGTTATTAAACAGCATGG